TGTTTCTAATTTTCATACTTCTCAGGGGGCCATCAGTCAAGACTGTGTGGAAACAAACAAACAAACAAACAAATCCTTTCTAACTTCTCCCTCTGAATCCCAGTCCCTGCATCTCTTGGAAGAAGACATTAACTTTAGAGTTATAATATGCTCAGCTTGCCTGCAACCCCCACATTTACTACATTCTCAGAGAACACAGAAGTAGAAACAACAAAAGATACAGAAGACAACAGCAGAAAACTTACTAGATGTTAATGCAGGCTGTTCTTATTTTGTCCTGGCTGTGTTGGCTACTTTGGAGTTCAACGTATGGAATTAGTGCTAGCTTTTGTACCAAAATACCTAACAAAAAAATCTGCCCAAGGTTTAAGAGCCACTCTCTTTTATTAGTGCAGATTCTATCTGTAGAATCCTTTGTAACCTTTCCACGTTCATATTAAACCACTTTCCTAAGCACTGTTGTTGATTATTTATCAATGTTACACAAACATCTGGCCTAAATTTCATGGCTTTCATGTACAAATTGCTGAGAAAATGTAGCCATCTCTCACATAAATCAACAACAACCCCATTAAAAATATTTATATATTACTTGCCATAAAAGGAGACAAAATAATTTGGCCAATGGCCATGACGTATGTTTGGCATAAGACGCCAAAATGCATGAGAAATTTTTTTAGTGTGTGCCTAAATTGTAATAAAGTTGGCATAAGCTTCATCACTGATACCAGACCTATAAACAGTATATTATAGTAATCAAAGTATGATGTTACCAATGTATCAGTCACCAAGGCTAAGCTATCTGTGTCCAGAAATAGTCATAGCTGATAAACCAAAAAAGACGGTAAAAGATACCCCTTGCTACCACTTGGGCTTCTACAGATGGTTCCATGACCACCCCAGTCTACTCAACAAGCTGCTTTAGTGAAAATGCAGCCCTATTCAGAATAGTTAAAGTCATAGCCTAGGGATCTACCTACAACCTTTCCTGATTTGAACATAACAACCTAGGCACTAGTAATTTTGTATTACGTTCTTTTCTTAAGAGGTGATTATGAAAAGATTACATGGCATCTTCAACTTCTATGTTTCTCCCAGCATTATTCCTTATTATTAGCTGGTGCTGCTCTAGTATGATCAGAAACCTGCTCTGCATGGATTTGACCCCTGCTGTGATCTCTATAAAACCATGAAGATGTTATGATCATGTAAAAAGCAAAGGGGCTGACACTGGAACACGACAATTCTACTCTTCAAATGTTGAGACAGCATGGCAAGAAAACAGTGGCCCCTGTGTTCTTAAGAAAGCTCTCTCACGTTCTACAATAAACCTTAAATTCAAATTTGGCACATTATGCAAAGCTCTCATTCTACAGTAAATCAGGCTCAAAAGTATTTATACTATTTCATCTCCTCCAAAACAAAAACATATAACTGCTTGTTCTTTTAGCCTTATGTCCACAGGAAGTTTAATCATCTGTTCTCTGAAATAGAGATTATTTGTTCTCCTAGCCATGGAAAGGGATTGGTCTTGTTACAGTTTTTTATATGCTGCATCCACAGACATGCTATAAATAAGAATAATGAGAAGAAGGAAAATGATCCATGGACCTTAAAGAGAAAGACTCACATTTATAACTATTCTCTGCTGTCAAGTTCTCAAACTTTCAGCTCTGTTTTATGACAAATAAATGGCCCAGCAACAATCTTTGTATTTTTATGTTCTATAATTTAATTTCTTTTAAATGCCAAAAAAGGAGCTTAAACTATTACCATTAAAGCTTTACATTATAAGTGAAATCAATCACCTTGCAGCTATGACATTTCTTGAATAATTCATTGGTAGCTCTCAATCACCTCTACACAAAGCATAGCTATTTAAATAAAACATCATACTCCTAAAATCTCATTAGTACAGAGCTTTCTAGTCCTCATCATTCTTGATGAGGTACAGTCTTGTTATTATGCTATTTAAAATTTTACCCTTTTATCTACTAGGAATATCATATAAACAAATTTAATATTGGTCCATGACACTACAAGTCTCTTACACATCCATTCATATAGTTCAATTACTATTTCTACATATTTACTTATTTAAAATCAGAAGATCATACTGGAGTGTCATAAATTACTTACTAACAAGAATTTGACTATTCACAGGGAATAGCAATACTGGTGATACAAAAACAAGGGCCCACCCCAATTCTTGTGTTGCCTAGGTTCACGCATCAGACCAGAACAAGAAGTAATATTGAACAGATAATTAGTTCTTTTTCCAGTAAAATCCTTCATCCCCCAGTGAACATGCCAACATTTCACAGTATTTCCATTTGATATTTTGACAAATGGGATCAGATTTTACTTACCCTGTGTTTTTCTTTAATTTTCTTCCTGTATTCCTCTTTGTCAAATTTATCCTCTTCCTTAAGTCTTTCTTTTGCTTTGTCTAGATCGATCCCATTACAATCATCGCCATCTTCCTCTTTGTCCAGGATAGATTTTTGGGCTGGTGGCCACTGCTGAATTAACTGAATCACAGAAGAATAATAAAAACATTTCAGTACTATCTATTCTGCAGTTTAGAAGGGGCTCTAGATTGCTACGAAGATCAATAGGTGTCCGACCTGCATGACACTGAACAGTTACAGAAATATAAAGATGCCTTTCAGGCAGGGAATTTAAGAGAGGAAATAAAAATTGAAGCAGCCCAATGAAGATTGAATAAATGCAATAAAAGCATGGATAAATAAGTATCATAGTAGAAATCTGAATGAAAAAGCTACAAATGCACATTCGGGTTTTCTTAAATTGAAGTGGAATTGCCACAGAATATAATTAAGTTTTTAAAAATGAGAAGTCAAATAAAATCAACTTTGCTAATTCTGTCCATCCTTAATCTCAGAATGCTTTGCTCATTGTTATGTTTGTTTAATGATGGTCATTGAAGAAACTACAATTGGCTGGGTTTGTAGTATGCCAACATAGTAAACTTTAAATGACTGTTTATATGTGACAATAACTGGGAACGTACAGTCTGCCAATACAAACCCCCCGTTTAATTTTTTTTCAATTTTGCCTTTACCCAATTCCAGAACAACTCTGGGTGGCTCACAACATAACATACAGAATAAAATACAGTATGAATAAGGAAAGAAAGAGAAAAAAAAGCTAAATAGAGACCAAGGTAAAAATAGAGAACAAAATGGCAAATCTGGACAAGAACATCAAAAATATATACAAACATATTCTACAAGGGGCTCCAGCCCCCTCAGCCTATGTCCTGGGAGAAGATCCAGGTCTTTACGGCACTCCAGAACATAAATAGGGTGGGAGCCACCTGGATCTTTGGGAAACCTCATTTCAGAGGGCAGCTGCTATGACAGAGAAGGCACACTTCTTTGGGCCCTGAAAGATGACACTGTTTAATTAAAGGGACCTGGAGTGGTTCAACCCTGTCAGCTCATATGAGCTGTGCAGACCACACAGAAGGTAGGCAGTCCCAAATAGCCAGACCCTGTACTGGGTATAAACTGTATAAGGTTTATAGGTTATAAAGGTTTATAGGTTATAACCATCACCTTGAATCATATCCAGAAGCAAACCGGCAACCAGTGCAGCTAGCAGAGCAGGGATATCACATGAGTATACCAAGACACACTCATTATTGCTTGTGCCACTGCATTCTGGTTCAGTTAAAGTTTCTGAAGAGTTTTGAGGGCAGCCCCAGATAGAGTGCATTGCAGCAACTGAATCATGAGGTTACTAGGCCATGAGTAACTGTCCAAAGAGTCTCCCAATCCAGGAAAGGGCACAACTGGCACACCAGATGAAGCTGTGCAAAGCCCCTCTTGGCCATAACTGCCACCTCCTCCTCAAGCAGGAGATGTAAGTCAAAAAGACCCCCAGATTGCGCACCACCCTTGAATGGAGAAGTGTTACCCCATTCAAGGTTAAAATGGAATCTCCCCAAATCTAGGTGGCCCTAATAAGCACAACCAGAGCCACAGTGGTGACTGTCCAGACATAACAAGGCATCATAAGACACTTGTATCTTAGTTTGGTCTAAGCCAGAGCAAGCCATCCAAATTCAAGAATCAGGTCAAACATTTCAGAACAAAGAGGACATCGAAAGGCTATGTCATCACCTGATTAATCTATGGCAATAGCTGTGACACTATCCTCTCCTTGTCTACAATTAGGGTGCTAATGTGCAAGAGAGAGTAGTTTAGTCTAGAGAAAACTATCATGAAAACTCAAGAGAATAAGGAAGCCAACAGACAGCGGAGGGGAAAAATCGGCTAACACATCATCTGTTCAAATCAAAAGAGTGCATTTGTATATATGTAGATTTCCAATCACGGTTGGTTTAATCAAAGATAATCATTTCAAGCTATCAGGTATACACTGGAAATCAAAGGGGGGGGGTCTTCAGAATTCATCATGGTCTTCAGAATTCAAGACAGAGGCAAGCTCCAGCATGCAGGAAAGGGAACGAGAGAAAGTGATGGGGCAAGAATAGGGAATTGTCACTATTCCAAAGAAAGGGGATTCACTGAATCAGGAGACAACCAGTGGTAAACACTGCTTGTTAGAGAAAAAGGAAAAGGAAAAGTAATGAGTCTCAGGCACAGAAAAGCACTGCCATGTAGAAATGTGCACCAATACAATTAAGAGAATCATTCCTGCATGATACCTACCAAACACCTAAAATTGCTCATTGTTGCTTAAGCCTATATTTAAGTACAATGGCATAATTACATGCACAAATGGCTGAAAAGGTCAGACTTTTTGACACCCGCCCTCCCAGGACCTAGTTCATAATATTGCCAGAATCCATATTTCTATATCACATTTTAAATGCAGCATCACAGTCCACATGATCATTCCTCACAGATATTCGTAAAAACAAGCTTTAATACATTGACCTCATTAGAGAAGTTGACAGTGGCTGCCAGAGAAACACATTATAGTACTCCCTAAAAAAAAGAAAAACGGACAGAAAATAAATGGTTGCAACTTTCTACCAAGCTCACATGCTTGCTATCCATCGCTCTCAGTTTCAAATTAGCTTTTGCAATCACAATGAACTAAGAATCAAAGCATTAAGACTTTGACTTGAGCAGGGCATTTGTCTTATCCTTCTGAAAACTAACATAAATGCTTCATGGCAGATTGTAATTTCCCTGCACCCAGTGGTAATCTACTGCTTGCAGAGGTACTGAAATGGTGCTGGGCTCATTACACTCTTGAGAACACTGAAGTGGTTCAAAAAAGGGGAAGGGAGTCAAGAAAGAATGAGGTTGAGTTCTGTTGAAAGCAGAGATGTGACAAATGAAGGTTATATATTGATAAAAAGCACCTACAAACCTACAGACCTTCTCGGATCCTCTCTGCTGTGCAGATTTATGATTCTCTGCCACACAGAAACACTTCCTTACGTAATCCATTCAATCCACTAAATGAGCACACAGAAGTGGGGTTTTAAAACTGCCACCAATTCCCACAGAAAAAGAACAGTTGTATTTTTTCTATTAGTTTGTTGTGGGATTGCAGACCACACTGATGACAGTTATTCATCAGAAATAGTGATTAAATATACGCTCATGAAAACTAAGAAATTTACTTTTGGATTTCAGATATAGTACAGTTCAGACTTATTTCAAATTAGTGACATGCAAAGCATTTCCAATTTTACTTCAAAACACCTCCAACTTGATTAAAAACATCCTGCTTTGAGCACAAAACAACTGTTTTGAACTCAAAACAGGATGCTTAGAGTGTGAAGCATTTTGCACACCACGGTTCAGATCTATCTGTCTGTCTGTCTGTCTGTCCGTCTAATCCTCTCTCATCCCAATGGGTGGTATGTGTCTTCCTCAGTCTTGGGTTCTCTACCAGAGGCCTGGGAGTTTGAGGGTTCTGCGCAGTGTCTTAGCTGTTCCTAGCACTGCACTCTTCTAGACAGAGAGCTGTGATGTTGTTCCTGGGATCTGCTGGAGCCACTCTCCTAGCTTAGGAGTCACAGCCCCAAGTGCTCCTACCACTACTGGGACACTTTGGCCTTTCCTTTCCATGTTTGTTTGTTTGTTTATTTAATTTGTATGCCGCCCATCTCCCCCAACGGGTGACTCTGGGTGGCTCACAATTAAAACAAAACCCACAAACAATTAAAAAATAAATACACATGAATTAATTAAAATTGATTAATCAATTAAAAGATCAAGCTATAAAGCAAACCCTATACATAAAAAACTAAAAACATTCAAGATGATGGGGGGCAGAATCAATTACCCCACAAGCCACTTCCACTGATGCGAGTCCCCATCTGGCCCCCAGGCCATCTGGCATAGCCAGGATTTCAGGCTGTTCCTGAAGGCCATGAGAGTGAGGGCACACCGCATCTCAGGAGGTAGGTTGTTCCACAGAGCGGGGGCCATGGCAGAAAAGGCCCCCTTCCTAGATCCCACCAGTTAAATTTACTTGACTGGTGGGGTCTGCAGCATGCCCCTTATGCCGGACCAAGTGGGGTGGGCTGATATAACAGGGGCGAGATGGCTCCTCAGATAACCTGGTCCTGTGCCATGAAGGGCTTTAAAGGTGGTAACCAACACCTTGAATTGGATCCAGAAGCAAACTGGCACATGCTCTCTAGTTCTTCCTTCAAGCCCTGGCACTTCTCCAGCTTCTCATTCTCTTTCTTCCTGATGTTGCTGTCACTTGGCACTGCTATGTCTATCACCACCGCTGTCTTCTGGTCCTTGTCTACTACCACAATATCTGGTTCACTGGCCAGTACCTGCCTGTATGTCAGGATCTGGAAGTCCCACAGGATCTTAGCCCTGTTATTCTCTGTTATATATATTTGCTAGGCTGGAAACTTTTCAAACTGTGTTTAAGGGAATCCATCAGTTCCGCTTGGAAACTTTTAAAGTAGTATTTAATTAGAAATAATCAGCAAATCCAGTAATAGTTGTCAGTCAGGGAGCACTCCCAAACTGCAAACTTGATATTTCTAGGACAATGGGTAGAAACCCAAGCTTCACCTCAATCCCCAAGTCCAACTTCCTCCTTACCAACAATACTTGCATTTTGCCTGGGTTTAAGTTTAGTTCACTCTTCCTCAACTAGCCCATTACTGAGATTAGGTAATATGGATTACTTCCTTGAAGCTAGAACAGTAATTATTTATTTTTTATTTTATTTATTTGAATTTTTTAGCTACCCAAATCCAATGGACTCTGTGTATCATTAGCATAACTTCCTCCTTACCAACAATACTTGCATTTTGCCTGGGTTTAAGTTTAGTTCACTCTTCCTCAACTAGCCCATTACTGAGATTAGGTAATATGGATTACTTCCTTGAAGCTAGAACAGTAATTATTTATTTTTTATTTTATTTATTTGAATTTTTTAGCTACCCAAATCCAATGGACTCTGTGTATCATTAGCATATTGACAGCATGCCACTTCAAATGACCTCTAGTAGTAGTTTCATATAGAAGTGAATCACCATAGGGGACAAAATAGAGTACTATATGATAGCACAGGTGTAGAACAATAATCCCCAAGTACCATCTTCTGAATATGCCTCAATAGAAAGGCCAGAACTACTGCAAAACTGTGCCCCCTAACCCTGCCAGAGGGTCCATGAAAATAATCATGGTCAATGATTACAAGAATCACCAAGTGGTCCAGGAGGACTACTTCAGTCATGATCCCCACATCTGGTTTTCAGTATAGGCACTTCACCAAGGCAAGTTTCAGTACTAAAATCCAGACAAAAATGCTTGTTAAAATGTGTCCAACTGTATTCAGATGCTTCTGGAGCTGCAAGACCATCATTCTCTCAATCATTTTCCTCAAGAATATAATATTTGAGACTGACTATATAATTACAGAGATATTCCACGTCAAAGACGACCAATAAGAAGATTCAATTCAATTAGAATCCAGGTAGTTCTCATTAACAACGGTAATTAGAACTGGAATTTCCATCACTAAGCAACGTGGTTGTAATGAGCAATGTCACATGGCCATGCTGGTAAGTGATGGCAGTTTCGGCACTTCTGGTTACCATCATTAAGCAAATCCTGTACCATCGTTAAGCACAACATCATGAGGTCACCATTTGCAACCTCTTGCCAGCTTCCCCAGTGACTTTGCTTGACAGGAACCGGCAACAAAGGTTGCAAATGGTGATCATGTTACTGCAGGATGCTGCAACATTGTAATTGCGAGCCAGTTCGCAAGGGCTTGGATCAGAATCATGTGACCATGGGGATGCTGCAACAGCTGCAACTAGGAGGACTGGTCACAAGTACCATTCGTTCAGCACTGTCATAAATTTGAACGGTCGCTGAATGAGTAGGTCATTAAGCAAGAACCACCTATAGAAATCTTATAACTGCCTTCTTTAAATAGGCAGAAACACACTGATCCCTTAACCATTAAGACCAGTCCAAAGCTGATTGATTTCAGCAGCCAAGAGGAGCAAGGCAAGATCAAACAAGCAGGAAGTAGCCCTCTTCTCTTCATATATCCTATCCATGTCCTCAAGATCTACAAGCTAAAAAAAATCAGGTCCCAGAGTCTTACTATTTTAATTGATCTTCCAGCCCTGCAGATGTTACACAGGTAGTCCTCAACTTACAATGGCAATTGGGACCAGAATTGCCATTGCTAAGTGATGCAGTTGTAAACCATGACTGCACCGCTTAGCAACAGCAATCCCTGCAGTCCCGATTACCATTGTTAACCAAATCCCAGAGTTGTTAGGCAAGGCAACTTCCTGCCAACTTCCCACAACCAAACTCAGCAGGGAAGCGGGCAGGAAGTTGCAAGTCCTAGGCTGTCAGGCAGGTAAGTGGCTGATGCCAGGTGGGGAAGACAGCGAGAGGATGCACAGGGATGCGGGGGAAGGTTGGAGAGGGGGCATGAGGGTGTGAGGACGTGTCAGAGAGGAGTGCATGAGAGGCACGGCATGGGTCAGGGAGGCACTCGAGGGTCCGAAGGGGTGTGTGAGAAGTGCAGAGTGGGTCCAGGAGGGGGCGTGAGGGAGCGTGCAAGAGGCACAGGTCTGGGAGGGTACATGGAGGTGTGTGAGTGGCCAGCATGGTGTGAACACAAAGAGGCTGGGGGAGGGTGCACAGGTCGGGGAGACTCATCCCAGCAACTTGTGACCTTTCCTGTCGGCTTCCCCACTGACTTTCTGGGAGACCCATCAGGGAAGTTTGCAAATGGTAATCATGTGATCGCAAGGCACTGCAACCAGTCATAAGTGCAAACCAGTTGTCAAGAGCCCAGATCACAATCATGTGACCATAGGGGTGCTGGGACTGGTCGTAATCACCATTCGTTCAATGCCTTCATAACTTTGAACAGTTGCTGAACAAATGGTTGCAGGCTGAGGACTACCTGTAGTCTAAAACTGATCAGAGAGATTCTGGGGAAGCAATGGCAGACTGAAGACGGCTCTGCTGAGAGCGGAGTTGATGATTGAAGTGAAATGAGGAGCCAGTAAATGGACTGGGTCTTTGAAATTCCTCTCTGGATAAAGAAGAGAACCTGGGATCACCCACAAGTGCTCCATACAGTGACTCTTCACAAGGAGACCATAAGACTGTGGTCTCCAGCTGGTTTTAGAGATCTGGGAGCCGAGGGATCATCATCTTTGGCCAAGGCGGTTCAACCCCTTCAAAAGGACACTGGGTTCACATACTTCCTTTCTTAATCACTTTTGGAAATTGCTTGTTAACGGCTTTTTGAATATTAAGAACTTTTGGAAAGGCAAGTTTCATTACACTGGATGAATCTCCTTCAATCTTTGATGAAAGAAGTTTTATGCAGGTTTAAGGATTTAAAAAATTCTTATTTTGGAATAAACAGCAAAATGGTGATTAGAGTGTTGCTTTTGGAAAGTTATAAACAGACTAAAGGGCCAGATGGATTTAAATAAGATTTTGAAATTAATGACAAGACTCTTTCCTGTGGGTTGTTTAAAATTTGATTGAAGAATGTATGAAAATTTTGAAACTAAGTGTAAGAAATCTTCCCGTGGGAAAATTTTGTGGATTAAAGAAAAACATAAGATGTGACTTTGAAGGTTGGACACTAGAGGGAACCAGAAAGAACTAAAGATCATAATTAAAGGAGAAGAGACTCACTAATATAGAATGATGCAAAATATTCTAACTTTGGAAGAATTCAAGGATTTGTGGGACAATGCACTCAGAAGTTACTCTTAAGATTGTCTACTACCATAAAAATGGTTTTAAGAAAGGTGATAGTAGAGAATGAGAATGAGACTGTGACTGGTTTGAATATGGATTTAAAAATGATAAATTACAAGAGCAATATGGAAAAAGATGTTACATTGGATTTACAAATGAAACTGGCTGATGTCATAATTAAAAGAGACATACAAATAAAAAACCAGAAGAGTGACTTGGATAACTTTCTTATCTTGGACTTAGCAAAGAGAGTGTTAAACTTATGAAGAAGTTCCTGAGAAAAGACAAAGAATGAAAAGAAATAAACTTTTGGGACATTATTTAAAGGGATTAAAGATCAAGATTTTTAAAAGCAAAGGGAAGGAATATAAAGTTGGCTTATTTAATCAAGGTTAAAATATGTGTTGTTGTTTCTGGTAGCTCTTAATGGATTTTTCTTGACTAGGACTGAATGACAAGGCTTTAAAATTTTGTTTATAGATAAGAGATGAGATATGGGAAGAGGTGATCTTTTATTGTAAAATTAGAGAAGGTGATAAATTACTGAATTTGTCTGTATTTGCCTTGATGAAGGGGGAAATCATTTCTTTATATATCTCTTTTCTTTTTTCTTTACTATTTTTTGGTCTTTTTTTTCTTTTTAATTTTTTATGTCTTTGCACTTTTAATTTTTTAATTTTTATATTTTCCTCGTTTTGTATTAGTTTTTCATCTTTGTATCTGAAAATTTTAATAAAAATTATTATTAAAAAATAAATAAAACTGATCAAAGAGTGATCTGTCCATGACAACAGAGTCATAGAAAATTCAACACACTACCAACCCAACATGTGCCCTGTAGCACGGACCTGCCCCACTAGGTGGATATGAAATCTTGAGCAATCATAGACATTGCAATTATCTAAAACCAAATGTCTAAGGGATTATTAAACTCAGATATAATCAACTATACATGGCTAATAGAGGTAATATTCCCTTGGTCTACACCTCAAAAAGCTATTCATGTAGGAATTCTTAGCAATACAAATTATTTGTATCTGATCTTACCTCTCCATCATCCGCAAATACGATTTTTGTATTTACTTTAAATTTTCTCTTCAAAACTTTTTTAGCTTCTTTTGTTTTAGTTATTTTCTTCTTCAGCTTCAAACTTGGTGTAACCTAAAAAGATGAAAAAATGGAAGACAGCCTGGTTACCCTTTAATGTAAAAGATTCTGAGATGAGCATCATTTAATCAGCACCAAAAAAAATCCTAACATATAGCATTTTTTTTATAAATAGATTTCTAATCCTGCAAATTTTAGAAATCCTTGTTAAAATGTGATGTGGTATCTCAAAAAGAAAAGAGAAGATAAAGGGGAAATTTCCAGAGTCACTAATACATCAGACTGTGGTGAGGCAATGATACTATCTCAGTACAGCTGCAGTTTTGCACCCTTAACTGAGCCAGAGGAAACCTAAAACCTGTCTTATAGAGTTCTCTTTTGCTTGATAGCAAAGACATTCCCATGTGTTCATTTATGTGTGTCCAGATCGTGCAAAAACCTCCTCAGATTGTTAAATGAGCATTCATCAGATTTGCTTTCATTCCCACTCATAAAAGTGCAGAACTCAGAGGACCCCAGGTTCAGACCATAACATCTCCAAAGTGGCCTGTGAAAAATATTTGATCATAAAATGCTGGGTCAGACTATCTTCACCATGATTTTGTTTCTCAAAATACATCTGGGCTGCGCACAAACAGGATGGATTACACAGTGATGTTAAAACTAAGTACACTCCACTGATTGTTTTACTTTTTCAACATATAGATATTGAATCTTCATTTCAACAACAATGATAGGGAGGATATAACAAATATCATACACCATTTACATTTTGTGGTCCATTGTGTAATTTAAATAAACATAAATGCAAATTTCACATGTGGAAAAACTAAGTACACACCTACATTTATCATTCCTTCAAATACCTAAAACAGTACCAGAAGACACGTTTGGCAAAAACCAAAGAGAACATTTCACCAGAAGAACCTGATACCAACTGTAACACATGGTAGTAGAAATGGTATGGTTTGGGGCTGCTGGCTTTGCTGCATCAAGGCCCGGGCAGCTCACCATTCCAGAATCTGCTATGAATTCTTCATTGTACCAGAGGGTGCTTGAGGATAATGTGAGCTTGCAAGGTGGCAATGACCCTAAACATTCCAGTTACTCCTCCAAGGAATGGTTGGAAAAAAAGAAATGGAGGGTTCTGGAATAGCCAGATCAAAGACTGGATCCAAATCCCATCAAGATGATTTGAAACAGGCTGTCCATGCAACAAACTGCTTGTAAAAACTAGACTCAATTTAGGATAGGATAGACCTATCCTCTGTAAATTCCCTTTTAAAACCAACCAAGTTTTTGGTCCATCTCCTTGACACGGAGATTGGTTATGAATTCCACTGGTTAATTATGCCCTGTATGAAGATCTGCTTTCTTTTCTAAATCTCTTTCCAATCAGCCTTACTGGATGGCCCTTGGTCCTAGTGTCTTGAGAAGGGGGGAAAAGCATTCTTCTCATCCACTTTCTCCATGCCATGCATGACTTCGTATACTCTTACTTTATCCAGACAAAATTGTCCCATACATTAGTTGGAATCAGCTACGCTTGCTAGATTGCTGAATGATCTGACTCAAGAGTGAGCAGCTTCTTCTGTTCATACATTATGAACACGGAGGCTGCCACAGATGCTGTTTTCACAACAGTGATTGTTCCAGCACATTACAGCAGGAATGGAAAGATCAGTGGGTGATCCAAGGGGCAGATTGTTTTCCTCATTTTTTGTTGTTACAGGCTGGAACAACCACTAATGTGGAGGTCCGATATTAAAGATATGGCATAAATAATTAAAATCTTACATATCCATGTAAAATGTTGGAAGGGAAGGGGGAAGAGAGAAGAGGCCAGGGAAACCACAGAAGCCACAAAAAAAAAAAAAAGCCATACAAAATGCTTTTGTTGAAATCACTGGAAAGAATAGTATCCCTCATTCCCACAAGTCAAGGACAATTCAATTAAATAAGAGGAGAACAATATTTCTTATTTCCCATTTCATTGCATCCATCACAGAAGTGAGAAATGGATATTGGTTGCATGTTCTGCAAAATAATTTGTATTCAAAAAAAAGAAAGAGAGAGAGAGAAATGAAGGCATAAATATACATTCGTGGGCTTTAATGAAAATGACATAATCAATTTATCTTGCCCTCTGGAATCCAATTTTTAACCTGCCAGTTTCAATAACTGTTTTTAACATTGGGAATATAGGCAGCTGTGGGCAAGGGTGGGGAAAAAAACCCTGATTTTCTTCATAACAGGTCAAGTCATTACCAATGGATTTTTTGCAACTATTTTGCAGTTTAGAAAAGAGACTTGGTTCCTTAGAAATATTAAAATGCTAAAATGGAAGGAAAGCAAGAACTACAAACAGCTAACTCCAATGTCACAGAAGCATCCATGTGTGTGTGATCAAAGAAGGCAAGATGGTAGCCACAATTGCACGATTAAACCCCTGACACCTTCTTAGGTGCATCACAACACATGTAAAGAAGGGGGGCTTCGCCTGCACAGTCACTGCTGTCATCTTCACTTTTTCATCCAACCCCTGTGGATTCCCCTACCCTGCACCACCCTGTGTACCCCCCAGATATGATGAAGAAGGAAAGGCACTTGCAGACATCATCTCATCAACAGGTGGATACAACTAAGAAATGTCAATTACTGGGATTCCTAAACTGGTGGGAAGCCAGCTATAAAACAAGCTAATTAATAAAAATGAAGTCACTTGAAAGAGGTTGTGTGCTGTTTAAAGACAATCTCAAAATATATACTATGATATATGTAACATAAAAAAAAGAGGCGAGCAGATTGTTACTTTCTTTCTATTTGATAAATCAATACAATACAAAATTTTAGCAGCTCTATTCATTTGGCACAAAAATCTACTTACAAATCTTAGAATTATTTGCACATCTGAGGAAATAAGGTAAACATATGACAGGATATAAAGACAGGATATAAAGTTAGTCCAGCCATTCCAGAAACAGTTCAAGGAAAGCAAACCTAGATGCTAAATACTTATTCTTCATTCTTAGTTCCATGTCTAAATACAGTTCAGTTAGAGATAAGATTAAAGAGAATAGTCTCAGCTTATGGAACTCTATTTGTCAAAATATGACAAAAAATTCATTTGTTTTAAAAGTGTTTACTGCCTTTTAAACCATGTTTTTCCAGGACAAAATTAAAAAAAAAATTAAAATCAATTTTAATTAATTTTTTTAAAAGGAAAGAGAGAAGAGAAAGATACGAAAATAGATTTTTGAATGATTAATCTGTTCATTATCTTTTTAAAAGAATGTACCTCCAATTAAAGCAGATATGAACTTTGGTCATTTTACTAAAAGCATTATTATGCCGGTAAGTGTTTTTATTCATCCTACTCAAGTAATACTCAGAAATATTATACGTAAAGCTCTTTTAAAAAAAAAAAAAGGATAATAATCTGAGCAAAAAAGCAGACAGAAAACTGAATTAATATTATCACTTCTATTAATGTAAAATAGGATTTTTTTTTCAAAAAAAGGCTATTCTTAAGTCATTCAATTCTGAGAAGCTCAGTTTATATACACACAAAACCTCATTTTATATACACGCACAACTATGCTCTATAAAGAAACACAAGGCCATCAGCAAATGTAACATTGCTTCCCTAACCTAAGACTCTCCAGATGTATTGGATGCAGAGGCAAACATGGGTGGGGCTGGAGATGGAAGGACTGCACCTTGTAGAATTCCTAGCCCACCTGATTAGGTCAGGTTGGAGAAGAAGCCCAATCACAAGGGCCAATCTGTAGTCCATTGACCAGTGATACCTTCTGAGCTCCCTTGACACACCTGGCCTTGCCAGAAGTATTTTTAGCTTTGGTATTTTTTCAGACAATGGAGAGCTGTTCTCACAATGGGAGGACTATCAAACTAGACTGGAAAGTCCTGATCTAGATCCCATGACTTTTGGAGAACTTTCCTCATGTTCCCTTCCTGCTAAAAGAGAACTCCTTATTAGCTGCGTCAAACAATAAAGCCCTGATATGACAGACTGAGGTTCAAGCAGGGGTTTCTTAATCTAATCTGTTTAAAGCTGAAACAGTTAAGCAAATTTGCAGCTGTAAAATTTCTGCTTGCCTGAGCAAAATAATCAAACAAATCAAGGTTACACAATCAAGGTTCAAATATGTTTAAACTATCCAGTCAAGCTTCATCAAGAGGGCTCTTGTGAAGCTATAAATTCACCTTTCAGTTTTAGTCTGGCATGCAGCCTTGATTTATCTTTTGCAGGAGAGAAAGGGAGAAATCAGAGACTGATTTATACTTTTCTTAGAGCACCATGAAGACAGCATCTTTAGAATATTTTACTGTATCTTAAACTACAGAAAAAAGTGTATTCCTTTTAAAATTGCATTGGCTACATTATTATGTTTCAGATTGTCTTTTTGTAATTTTGATTATAGCAACCACTGAACATTAGTTACTAGTGTTGATCTGTATATTTATTCATATTGTAACATAGTATGCATTTTAAAATTTAAGGCACTTAAATACACAAGCTTGCTGACTGAAGATGTATAATGTTTTCCTTTGGAAAACTGCTGGAAAAGTAACAAAATTGTTAGCTGAACTTCAAAGCTCAGCTCACTGCTTCTGGTAATAATTCAAATCCATGAGTTGAGGAAGTGGGGTATTAATCAGAGCTACCAGGTGAGAGGATTAAATTCTTTAAAAACCGGGACACCTTTAAATCAAATAGAATCAATGCTGAACCTAAGCAGAGGGTAAGCTTGACAGATTATAACAGATACCAGATTTTGGTTATGAAAAAAAAAATCACCTTAGAAAGTCAGAACTATAGTTATTAAAATATACATTTGGAGTTCTAAAACAAAAAAATGAAAGACCACCAACAATTTTCAAATGAAGTAGTATTTAAAAGTTGTACAGGTAGTCCTCGAGTTACAACCAATCATTCAGCGACTGTTCAAAATTACAACAGCCTAAACGAAGGGATCTTACGACTGGTCCACAAAGTTGTGGCCACTACAGCATCCCACAGTCACG